GGGGGGGGGGGGGGGGGGTGTATTGTATTGACATCACTGCGAAGCAACATCATATGCGACAGGTTCTCATGAAAGTAAAAGGATAAAGAGGCGCTCAAATTTCAATCACAACGTTATCTTCTCACGCTCGACCATACCCACACCCATGGAAACTATGAGCTTTTAGCTGCAAATTATATTAAGAATACTCAATTGACTAGCTATATTCACTGATACCAAGAGTTTAGTCCCGTTCACCGTCTTTCATTGTTAGCGCATGGCCCCTTTGACCGAACAGGAACAGACTGCAAAAACACTCATCCATATGATATCATGACATTGTGGTCGATATTCATTCACTTTTTACTGCTGCGGAGATGAATTTCAATGGTCTTAGCTCCTTGTTAACCTGTACCGACTCAACTGTAAAATAATTCTTCCTTTATCTCGCCTACATTATCATAAAGTCCTGCCTCAATTCAAATTGACCCCACAACTACAATTGGAGACGAAGTAGGAAACAGAAAAAAGCAATTTCCAAATTGGCTACGTTGGACCCTCAAGACAATGAATCAGACTTTCTGTAATATAAGATATATTAAGTGCACCGTAATAGTTCAGCTTCGAGGTAAAGATGGCATGTTACCTGCTACATCCATGGTAGATGGAGAGGTCATCAAGAGCACTCAAAGCAACACCACCGGTAACAGTAATCAAGATAAACGATACGGCCTTCCGTCCGAAAGATCCAGCCTTTCCATCAGTTGCAGATTTCAGCGAGCTGTTCCAAGACAATCCTATCAGCGCATTTCAAAATTAAGTGACATGTTTTGATCCTATACAAAATCAAGTTAGTGAACAAGCATAAGGGTATGGAATGATCCAAACGCCTAAACGAGAATTTCGATATGATAAGAGCCAAATCAGGGTTTTTAGGAATTCCCCATGTGAGCGATCATGAAACTAATTCATCTACATAACGACGCCAAACCCTTGACTTTACAAATTACAACACTCAAATGAGGACAATTTATATGTTTCTGATCACAACATCATAACATGACACAAACCCACCGGCGACGCCAATTGCATATCGATTTATTATACAAAAAACAAATGCTAAGCGAAAAACTCGAATCCTAGAAGCAAAATCAGGAGAAGAATCGGAGTCTGGATCAAAGAGAATATAATTTATGTATTTATTGCGCACGTGGAAGTTGGGGAGCCTTTGAAGAAAGAAATGAATCTCCTGCTAAGCATTTCCTGCAGCTTTTTCAGTCGATTCTTCGAGGGTTCCGAGTCGACTCGCTGATTCGATCCGGAGCAGTTCGGTGGGTGATGATCTCTAGGGTTCAGGGTTTTGCGACTCAACCAATCCACTCCTTCCTCTCCACCGAATTTGAAAGAAAAATCGGAGCTATTGATGAAAACTAATTTACAGTATTGGTATTGGATTCGGACCATCTAGTATAATGTGGATCTATTTTGGGCTCTATTGGCCCTTTAAGCGAGAGAAAGATGAGCCCACCTGAATTTTGCTTGTTATCCTCTAACAATCTTACACGTGGAATCCATTAGTGGGTCCTACAAGGAGGCATTTCCCACGCGCTATTTCTCGCGCGTGATCGATGACGGCTGATCCCTTCGTTAACACAGCCACCACCTCCACCCAGCCAACGCGACGAGGAAAAAGAAGGTACAAAAAAAGGCGAGAAAATCATCGTCCACTTCGTCTGTCGGACGACGCGCCGGTGTCGGCTGTAAATATCTTTCGTTCGTCGAGGTTTCTCTGGATTCGGTTCCTCTCCTGGGTTCGGCTTTTTCATGAATTCCTAGGCGGGATTCGATTTTGAAGCTTGATGATCTATGGGTGAGAATTCAGATTTCCGACCGGAATTTGAGATTTTGTTTTTTATTTCTCGGCTAACCCTTTTGTGTTACGATTGAATTTCGCGGTTTTTTTCAGGTTGTTAGATTCGGATTCAATTGTGCTTTGTCTTTTGTGTTAGTCTTTCGTGGGTATTTGTTGTTTGGTTTTGATAATGTGTTGCTTTAGCGGTGATTCTCGATGCTTATGCCTTCTTTCTATGCGAAATATCGTCATGGAGCTCATTTAGTGTCGTCTTTCGATAATTTCACCTCTGATTTTACATTTCCTCCCTTGATTCTATCTGATATTTATTTGCAAATTTCGAGCTTTTCATCGTTTAGTGAAAGTCCTCTGCTTCTATGAACCGTGCTTACGAGCCTGAACCTCGAACTGATATTATTGCGCATTTTTTTTTAAAAAAATTCAGATACTTTCCAGATCGTATTTGCGTTCCCTGTCATGTTTGTGGGAATGCATCATGGTTATGAATTTATGACCAGTATTTTTTCTTGCTCTGATATGCTTTTGTCCTTTTTTTTTCTTTAGTTCGGTTTGGTGTGTATATGAAATGTGCAGACTGTGTGAACACAACTGGAGATATTCATTTTGTAGGACAATAATGGAGGCTCGCCCGATTCAGAGGTCTGGTCCGAAACAGCTCGGTGACATTTCACGCACATCCTCGATACCATCTGGACCGAACCCTTCAGAAGAGATTTACTCGAAATCTGAAAACACTCAAAGGGTATCACCAGAACAAGATTTTATGGCAATGCCTTTGGGGCAAACTTATCGTTTGCTTTCTGCAAATGGTGGAGCAGTTGGCCATATATTTTCTTCGTCATCGGGTTATTCAAGTGATCTCCATCATTCGTCTTTGACATCACACGAGAAACTTGCAGGAAACAGCAATGGGCCTCTCGTTTCTCAGACATCGAGTAACAACAGTTCTTGGTGCCCAGATTCAGTCCAAGGGTTTCTTGATTTTCCCGCTAACTCACCTATTCAGAACAGCCAATTGGAGAGCAGTAGCATCATGGTATCTGATGACATTAACAAACGAAGCGACTGGCCAGAGTGGGCTGACAACTTGATCACGGACGATGATGCTCTAATGTCTACTGACTGGAATGACCTTCTGGTTGACACCAGTTCCAATTCAGATTCAAAGGTCGTTTTATCATATTCCATTCCTATGTTTTATGCATAGTAATCAGATTCGAACCAAAGACAACAACTTGCTTGCCAGTATTTTCATCTTCTATGCTTGCTTGAGCATGAAACATCAACAGGAACAGAGAAATAGGCTATTTTCCACCCTTTATTTTTGTGTTCTCATGTTTTTTTCTTACATGTTTTGAGGACAGAAATTGTCTACCCAACTTCAGATCCAGCAAACCCAGGTTGTTCAGAAGAACCCTTCTCCATCTGTGGAACTTCGACCTGTGGTTAGCACAGCATCCTCAAACAGCAACAACAACAACAGTAACAACAACAACAATAACAGTAATGCATCGTCTAAGCCACGCATGCGTTGGACACCAGAACTTCACGAGGCTTTTGTTGAGGCTGTCAACCAGCTTGGTGGCAGTGAAAGTGAGTCTCTCTCTCTATATATACACACACACACACCTGCGTTTAAATCCCGGGCTTTGTGAAATGAATGATGATAATCTCTGCTTTTAAGCAGGAGCTACGCCTAAGGGTGTGCTGAAACTTATGAAAGTCCAAGGCTTGACTATATATCACGTGAAAAGCCATCTGCAGGTTGTTATTGTTCTTCGTTCTGGGCATTGGGTTTTTCTCGATAATGGCAAAGATTCTTCTGTTAATAGAAGCTGAGATTTCGTTTTTTAAACTGCAGAAATATAGGACTGCACGATATAGGCCAGAAGAACCATCAGAAGGTTACAGTCTGAGAAATTTGATCCCTTGACGACTTTCCTGAGCATTTCATTAGTTCCTATTCAAGATTATCTTCTTTGATGATTCCAGGTTCTTCTGAGAAGAAGTTGACACCTCTTGAACAGATTTCATCTCTTGATTTCAAAACGTAAGTTTCTATATTTGGTATATTTCTTCTCGAGCATTAACGTTATAGTCAGAACAGATTCACCTTGCATCATGAAATCCCTTACAAAAACATCATTGATTGTTTGATGGTATAGTGGCATTGATATAACTGAGGCTCTGAGACTTCAGATGGATGTTCAGAAGCGGCTCCACGAACAGCTTGAGGTACAACCAATCTCTGTCTTCTTGGTTTTTAGAATCTACAAAAACTTAACCTTTACGACAATGGAGGTGCAAACACTCGAAAAGGCCAAAATGGTTGTATAAAAACATGTTTTTTTCCTGTCAGATTCAAAGAAACCTGCAGCTCCAGATAGAAGAACAGGGGAAGTACTTGCAGAAGATGTTTGAGAAACAAAAATCGTGTCTTGGGATGTTGAAGGGCTCATCATCATCGCCCAATCCAGAGAACATCACACCAGATTCTCCCACCATATCTGAACACACAACCGATACAGAGAAAACTCCTGAAGCTTCAGAAAAGAGAAAAGAACGCGAAACAGATGGCACGGGATCACCACAGCCAAAGCGTCCTAGAAACCATGAATGAACAGAAACTCTCTATGATATAAAGAAAAGGGGCTGCGAGTTTTTAACAGACAGAGATGGAGCTTCTCTCCTCAGTTGTGAACAATTCTTCTGATGGAAAACCCTCAGGTGTTGTGCAGAGAACGTCAAGTAGTAAAATAAGAACAATATTGAGAAAGTTCTTCATCTCTGGATGTAATCTCAATGCTATACTTCTCTCTAGTTTATGGAGATGTAGATTCTAAATTTTGGCTTTGATTTGTAACGTTTTTCTCCTTGGAAATTTTCTCTAGTTTACATTTATCTGAACAGTTCTCTTTGTTTTTTTTTGGGGGGGGGGGGGGGTGCTGAAAGCCTGAAAGAGAAGCTGAAACTGTTTATTATTGTTCATGTCGTAATACAGAGTCAGAATGTTTATGAACTTGACATAAAAGAGAGCACACGTTCATCTCTATATTTGTATCAATCTATGGATACACAGAGAAATCATATCAAAATCAATATTTTTCATTTTTAAAGAAGGAAAAGAAAAGCTAATCATCATCTGAAGGGCTCGACAGGAGCAGATTCCTCGATCAGGGCAGCAGCCTGGAAACAATCGGCGGCCTCTTGCAACGATGAGACAGAGCCCTCGGCCTTGTAGAGCTTACCGAGGCTATACCAAGCCGACGAGTTCATCCTCTCCAGCCTCAGAGCCTCCATCAGAAAGCTTCTCACCACTGCCATGTTGGATTCATTCTCTCCCTCCTGTAGGATCTCTGCCATCGATACCAGGCTTGGAACGTTCATCGGATCGATACCCAGAGCCGTCATGAAAGCTGTCAGAGATTTTTCAACAAGGCCCTGCTTTCTGTACAGCACACCTGCAATATATATGCTCATGTAATTCAACCAACCTCTTCTGTTGGATTACCAGCTTTTCTATGAAGAATTCGGAAAATATCAGCTTTCCCCATAGGCTAAGTTACTGTGCTGTATAGTACATAGAACAGAAACGAATGGGTGGAGGAAAAGGTCGCACCTTGGGCATGGCAGCGAGCAGAGGAGAAAGGTGAAATGGACATCGATCTCGAAAGACAAGCCTCTGCGTCTTGCCACTGAGAGAGGTTAATGTAGACATGGGCAAGGTCATGCCATGTCTCCATTTCCAAACTCCTCAAACTCTCTGCATATCCCTGTCACAATCATTTCAAGACCCATTTTTGTAAAAAGATCCACACTTTTTCCATTGTATACACAGCTATGTGACTATGTCCCTGTCTGATGAGACATATATACATATATATATATATATATATATATATATGTTTTGTCGACCTGTTATTACCTTTTGAAGCTTCTTTGCAGAACTGAAGCTTTTGCTCTGAACCTGAAGAAGAGCTAGAAGTTGGGTATATGTCTCGATAGCGGACTTCACTTGCCCCTGAGCCAGACACAGCTTTGCCTTCAGACGCAACAGCTTTCCCTGCTCCCATTTCCCGATCTGATCGAGGGCTGCCGCCACAATGGTATCGGCATCTGTGAATCTCTTCTGGGCTGATAGTACCCGAGCCAGTAGCATCCATCCTTCGAGATCTGACCCAGCTCCGAGCTTCAGTGCCTGTTTAGCATACCTGAGAGCAGCGTCCAGCTTTCTCTGCTCTGCATTCTCGAGGGCCAGCCAGTAGAGGACCTTCGGGTCCGTCTTGTCAGAGGCTTCCAATGCCTGGAGGGCCTTGGATTGCCTGACCACCCGTTCTGACTCTGTGAGGACAGTTCTAGAGCTTCCCGAAAGGGCTATTCCCAAAACAAAGCTGGCTGTTCTTTCCAAACTTTCACAACCATTCTCTAACTTTCTCGAGGCCCTGAGGGCGTATTCTATCCCATCCTCAGTGAGACTTGGACTTTCTCCGCAGATTCTCGAAGCCATCAGCAAACCCGGAACATAGTTCGGTTCCTCCCGTTCCAACAACAGCTTCTTTAGCAAACTGAGAGCAACAAGACCTTCTCCGGCTCCGTAATAGCATAGAGACAATGTGTAATAGAGCTCTTTCCGATCCAAAATCGCAGGAATCAACTCTTCGATCTGCTTTGCCAGAGAGGTAAGATCGCCAGCCATTGAAAGGGCAAACGAGAGATGATCCAAGATTGTTGCATCCCAAATAATTCTTTTCAGATTAACTTTTCTCAGAAGAATGATCAGAAGAAGGATTGCCTCTTCTATGTTGTTTCTTGGAATGAAAGAGCCCTCCGCCTGAGCACGCAGGTTTGGTGGCACAGCTTCTTCTCCAGAATACAGAAGATAAACAGCGAATTCTTTCTGGATACGTGCCATGGTTTCTGGATTGAGCCTCCAATGGCTGAGCAATGCTCGTCTGTACGATAAAATCGCTTCACGGGGAGAATCTGCAAGTTTCCACAGCTCGGGGAGCAGCTCGACGGCTTTTGTTAGAGTCTCCGGCAATTTGCTGTCACCAGCAGCTACATTTTCGGGCAATCCTTCCGGAAAAGAAGACTCGACTATATCTAGAATAACTCTGCAAGACTGTGCGGCTTCTGCGAGAATCACAAGGGCCGTGAATTAGCCATACAGATCTATAAAAAATTTGACGGAATATTTCTTTTGAGAGGAGGAAAAATGACGTACCTTCAAATCGATCAAGGCGCTGGAGACATTTTGCTTTAAGGAAAATGGCTTCAAAGAGCAAGCTAACAGCATGAATCGACATCGGAGGAGGAACAGCAAAATTTTTGGAGTGTCTTCGGTGGCGTTCTTCTCTTGTCTTTAGAGTGATTTTCATCTTTGAGGTTATCCCGTTGATGTCTATCCCTTCAAAGACTCGTAATGCCGCCTCTATGTTTCCTTTCTGATACTCGATTCTTCCCAAAAGCGCTCTCGCTTCCTACCAAAATCAGCGATCACATTAACTCCCTTCAGACCAAATAAGTATAATTGTAATAACTTACAGTTCATAAGATGAATACAAAAACTGTATAGGATTCTGGTGAAAAGCATCACAATTAGGAGTAAATGAATCGGAAAACAAAATTGTACTATATCACGAAATCGAGAAGCATGTAACAAATTATCCTCTTGTATAAAATAAAAAAGGATTAGAACATGGGAAGGAATGCAGAGTTGGCCAGAATTTTTTTTTATATAACATTTCGGCTTTTATAAAAGAGTTTGAAGAAACAAGGGGGGAAATAAACAGGAAGGAGCTCACGAAAGAAGAGCAACCTCATAGTTCAATGAGCTTGTCTCGCGCAGTGATAACTCGGCTTCTTCTATATTACCATTATCCAGCTGCGTCTTCACGTTCTCGCCATCCGCAGCAGATGCGGACATGGCTGCACTCTCTGCTCCAGATGCCTTGAAATTTTTGTCTGTGGGTCTCATTTGCTCTCCAGAACACAAAAACTTCATTTTGATCTTCCTGAAAGTACGTCTAAATCTGCGTCTTCTGCAATTGCTCTCGCTATTCGGCATTGCCCTCCACATCGTCTGAGAATCTTCTTCAGAGATGACCCCCAACAACAATGAACAACATGCAAGACATAATCAGAATCTTGTTTCTGTCATGTTTCAGTAAAAAAATTAAGCCTTTGGGTTTTATGAAGGTTAAGGAGATCAAGATTTTGATCATGTCGTGAATATAAAACAGGAAAGATATGTTAGGCATTAACTCGATATGATTCCACAATTACTGAATCCATAGTTGCATGAGATAGAGCGAACAAAATCGTAACTTTATGATCGAATCCTAGAAAAGCAGTTCAGAAGACCCTTCACCGAGTTAGAAGTTATGGAAGTTTTGACCAGATACTACCACAATTCAGCATTTTCCTCCATAAATGAATTGAACAGAGTGTGAAGCTGTGACATGATCGAAAACTTGACCTCGGGTTTAGTATCTACAATCTAGTACTAAAAGTTCAGAACTTCTGCATCTAAAAGTGTTCTTCATAGTGTTCCACAATGGTCGGGAATCTTGAGATACAGCCAACCACAAGAGAACAGTAGCGAAGACGATTCGAAATTCAGAAGTTCTCTACAATTCAAGCTTTTAGGCTTTACATCCCCACAGAGAGATCAAGATTTTGATGGAAATGGAAAAAAACATGGAACAGAACTTGTCATTGATTAGCTATAACTCAGAACTCACTAAACTCTCCAGTAAAAAGGAAAAAAAGAACAAAACAAAACGTGAAACCGACGATCAAAACCAGAACGTCGTACTATCGAATCGTAAAACCTAACGCCCAGAACACGAATTTCCTAAAACTATTGAACAGTTAAACATGAGTTCGATGAGAGACGTCCACAATTCAGCATTTTGTGACTGAAATCCTAAGGCGCTAAATGGCAGAAAAGTTGAGAACCTGAGCTCGAACTCAGTTCTTCAAACAGAAACCCACACCCAGTATCCAGAATTCGAAATCTATGACACCCACTTCGAAATCCAACCGAAAGTAGCAAAATTGTAGTCCAAAACACCAGGAAGAAAAAACCCCACCTCGAATTCTTGAATTTGAAGGAACCAGATTGCCAATCGATTCGATGATCAGAGAACAAGGGACAGAGAGAGAACCCACCTTTGATTTCGAAGAAAAGAAGAAGAACCCATGTAAATAAAGAAGCCGACAGCCATGGCCGCCTCGAAATTCCTCAGAATTATTCCGGATTCAAGCAATCAAGCAAAGCAACCCTCGACGAAAACTAAAAAGGAAAAAAAAAACTGATCCTTCTCTCTCTGTCATTTCCTTTTTCACCCTTTTACTTTCTCCACCTTTTCCTTTGTCGCTTTTTGCATAGGTGTGAGCGACCCTGCCTTTCCTCTTCGTTTGTGTTCCTCCCAGTAATGACCAAAAATAATAAACAATAAAAAAAAAAAAGGAGTCCAGGCGAATAAAAACACCGAATGGAATTTTCGGAGTTTGGGTCACGAGCCCAGGCTCCTGCAGATATTTATTTCTCCTTTAATTCCGCGTGTCAAAGTGTCCATTTCTAAGGTCCCACGTTTTTCTTATCAAATTAAATCAAAGAAAACTTCTTTACAAATTAATAATACACCGTCTACTTTTATTACATTGATATTATCATTTCCATGTGTAATTTATTTCATTTTTTTTAATACATTGGAAAATCTGCCCTACAACACTTCGGATCAGACACCAGACACCATAACATCTCACAGTCCAATGGACCAGACGAGAACGGCATCAGCTCAGCATAGCGGACCAAGAAAAACTTCAAACCCACGTACACGAGGATAAATCATCCGTAACTGACAGGCAACAGGTGAGAACTAAAAAGGTGGCAAATAGTCGAACCCGCTGACCTCATGGTTTTTCCCATGTTCCTTAATCAATTCACATGGATTTCTCCCTATTTCACATTAAAAAGGAAGCCTTTTCTACCCCAAAGCACAGTCGATTTCATTTATTCATATTTTGGACCCACTTGGTTAGAAAATCTTGACGATTCCCTCCAATACGTCCTACGAAAATGGTTTATAAGCAATTTCAATTCAATTGAAAAAAAAAACTCCCTCAATCAAGAAAAATATCGATCTCCGTGAGATGTGAATTGTGCAAAACGGGCCAATGCACGTTGTGTTTCGTCACGAGCCCAATAGTGTCTTGTCTTAAGGGCCGGTGGAAAAGTAAAATTTTTTTTAAAAAAAGCCCACAAATCACTATTGTCAATAAATTTTTTATTTAAAAAAAAAACTTAAAAGGCAGATTAGATGCGAACCTTAATCAGTTGCGAGGTATGAGTTTAGATGCAACATTAGTCAAAACGCAGAGCAGGATCGCGAGCAGGAGGATGACGCCAGCGAGGACGAGGGCTATGATATAACCGGCCTCCATTCCCAAATAACGCTCGACTATTGCCAATTCAAGAAATACACTGTTGTTTACGATTTATATATAATAGCCATAGGGGGACAAAAAACAAATATTTTCTGACGCGTGCGAATAAATTTTATATTTATCTAATCAATCAAATAATATGGCGCGTGCGTTTCATTGATTGCGGGGAAGGGCAAGACACGAACAGAGCCATGGGCCTCCCAACAGCTTATAATAAGCCCACAACAAAACCCGTTGGAAGCAACCCATTGACATATGGCTATTTCCATTTATGCCCTCCGTGGAGCCCACATCGTCCGTACAAGGATTTTAAAAATATATACAAAGGTATCATTATTCAGTGTAAAATAGGTCTGCTCGTCGAATGGGACGTCGCGTGACAAGCCGTTTCCGGTAAAACGTATGACACGTGTCTCCACGACAGTGGTTGGCTCCGTTAGCAGTCGCTTTCTCCCGACGACACTTCCTCTGTCCCAATCGGCGGCTGCGGCGCTTCTCTGTCTCTGCAGCTTTGCGCCTTACTGTCTTATTTTTTTTTTCTTTTCTTCTCATAATTTTTCCTAATAAATCTGTGTAAATCTAATGTCTTGCAAAAAATAAATCTGTGTAACATTTTTGGACATTTTTTAAAATGCTATTTGTTTTTGGCTAATAATACGCGTCCTTTTTTTATTGGAGGCGCTGAAATTTAATCTATTGAGTTTAAAACCTATCAAAAAGTGGGAAAAAAAAAAAGAAATGATAAATGATAAAATGAAGCATGAAAAAAGACAAGAACATATGTTGTTTAGCCAAATTACAAAACAGGGAGATAAAAAGTAGCCTAAAAATCTAAACGGTGTCGTGTTGTTGGGAGGATGATGGTCCCGACATCCCCTCTCTGCCCTCTGCTGCTTTTTACCCGCGGAACGGGAAGCTGTACTGTCCACCCTCAAATGTCCATTATGCCCTCTCCCTCTCCCCTTATCCTCCCTTTTGCCCCCCTCGACCCCTTTTGTCAATCCTCTGTTTCCAAAATGTCTTGAATTTTATAAAGAAAAACCGATACAAGCGTAAGGTTAAATTAACATTAGTCCATATCTTGGAAAAGCCAAGACATAAATGAACGACAATTAGAGTGGCTGTTTTATCGTATATAATTATTTATATAGCAACTAATTATTTCTCTTATATATTTATTTTTAAACGCAAATGAAAATCCCAATGTAACCAATTAAAAGCTTTGTCTTATAGCCATTTATTTCGCAAGAAAGGAGCTAACTTTGTTTTATGTTCGCCGACCCATAAATAAAAGTACATTGCGGCAGAGTCCTTGGCAACAGACCAAACCAAAACCCAACAAAAGATTTCTCATAAAGCTTCTTTTTTTTTTCTCCGCTTCCCTCTCCCATGGCGATTACTCGTATCTCACATTCTTCTTCCGACATCATTCTCATCCTCGCGTTCATGTCCATTATCGTCTTTACGCAGCAGCAGCAGCAGGACTCGACGCCCCCACTCGCCCTCGACCCGTCCGAGCAAGAGGCTCTCTACCGAGTTCTCGAGTCGGTGAACTCGGCCATTCCATGGCGTACCATCTTCCCCGACGACCTCTGCTCCTCCGCTCCAGACGGCGTCGTTTGCGACTTCTTCTCCTCCGAAAACGGCGTCGTAACGTCCGTCCACGTCACCGAACTCAGCTTCGGCTATGTCTCCGACTATTCCCCGAACCCGCCTTGCTCTTCCAATTCTACCCTCGACCCGCTTCTTTTCACCGCCTTCAAGCATCTCCGCAAGCTCTTCTTCTACAAGTGCTTCACCGGATCTCGAGTTCCGGCGCCGGGAACCATGCCGGAGGGTTTCGGTTTCTCTCTGGAGGAAATGGTGTTCATGGAGAATCCAGGCCTTGTCGGCGAGCTCGGTGGCATGATCGGTAATTTCACAAAGCTGAGGAGACTAGTTTTGACCGGAAACGGGTTGTACGGATCGATTCCGAGTCAAATCGGCGATTTGGTGAGTCTGCAAGAGATTACGCTTTCCAGGAACAGTCTGAGTGGCAGAGTCCCTGGGAACTTGACCCGGTTGAAAAACCTAAAGGTCCTTGACCTGAGCCATAACTTTTTTGACGGAAATGCCCCTGCTTCCATCGGTGATCTCGTGGAGCTCCTCAAGCTCGACCTCAGCTTCAATGGGTTCTCCAGCGAGATTCCCTCCGGCGTCGGGAACTTGAAAAGGATCGAATTCTTGGACTTGAGTTACAACCGCTTTTCGAACTCCGGCGTTCCTCTGTTTCTTGGAGACATGCCCAGACTGAAAGAGATTCATCTGAGCGGGAATCGGCTCGGAGGGCGTATCCCGGAAATTTGGAGGAATCTGGGGGCTGTTCTGGGAATTGGGTTCTCGGGGATGAGGCTCGAAGGCAAGATTCCAGCTTCCATGGCGGCAAATCTGAGAAACCTGTCTTATTTGTTGCTCGACAACAACAGGCTCGAAGGGCAAGTCCCCCAGGAGTTTGGACTTTTGGAGTTCGCCGGCGAGATCAATCTTGAGAACAACAATCTGAGCGGCACAGTGCTGTTTCCCGATGGCTTCACGGGAAGAATCGGTAAGAAACTCAGACTTGGTGGGAACCCTGATCTCTGCGTCGATCGCGGAACAAAGATTGATTCGCAAGATCTGAAATTTTGTCCGAGACGGGACAACGAACTGGTCTCTGCCCTCTCCAGAGATGGTTTATCTTCCTCTCCGATAAGCGCAGCATTTAGGTCAGCATACAGCAGTCGGATGTTGGTGGCTATGGTCCTTTACGTTTTCTTCGTCGGAAGGGATTAGGGTTTCGATCAAACAGTGGAAACAGAGACATGAGAAGAGAAGATTAATGAAATGTTGACAATGCTGACTTTAGACTGGGATTTTTTCTTTTTTAGTGTATCGAGAGCTGACTTTTGTAGCAGATATGTAATTATGAGTTTTCTGCGATATGGAATTACGAAAGAGGTCATCTTATGCATAATTCGGTGTCGTTTTATTATAAAGAAATGGGATATCATTTAATGTCTTG